AAAAATCTAACCTTAGAATAATAAGAATTTCAGGCAGACATTTGTGAAGAACAATACACAACAGATTGTCATCAGATACCAAAATAAGGACTCTGGTGCCCTGAAGTGTTAGGGCTTACAGGATTCCTGAAAGTTTTTTCTTTTCACTGTGTACTTATTATTTTAATACTTGATGTTGAGAGGAATGTAACAATAGACAACTATTCAATCTTTATTTCCTGCTTTGCCTCTCGAATTATATGCTGTTTTGTATTAATGATGTTTGGATAATTCAATATTGTATAAGCAAGAATTTGCCTTTGACACTTCAATGAGTTCTGTTTCGTGTTTCACTGAATGTTCAGACACAACAGGGTAACGGGAGATTGAAGTTCCTGCTCTAGAGTCCTTGTATTACTCATTGTTGTGGATGTATTAACCGTAGCCCTACTCCCTAATGTGAGTAGCCTTTCCATTTTCCCATGTTTCTTCAATAATGCCAGGACATTAATTCAATACAGTTGTAGGGGAAACAGTGCCACCCGTTGGATTATCAATATCATCCTCTTTGTTACATAGGCCTGGTCCAGGAAGGCGTGCTCTGATCCCCTTTATGGTTATTGTGCTGTAATTCTGGTAGTATTTTCTCAATGCCTATGCTTTCCCTGCAGTTTAATTATGTGGCTACACCCTTATTAAAATTTCCTTTTTTCTTTTTTTTCTTTTCTGTCCTTAACGTGGATGCATAAAAGTTGACTGCAGTTTGACTGCAATGGAGCAGTCAAAGCTCTTCTGGAGCATCTTGCTAGCAGTGGAGAGCAAAATATTTTTAGAGTTTTCTTTAAGTGGGTTTTGTCAGCCATTTCTCTGACTCCTGCCTCAAAAAGGCATTGTACACTTTTGTTGAACTCTGTGTCTGGATTATTTTTTTTTTAAAGGAAAGATTTAAGGATGTGCAGCAACTATTCCATGTTTTCCCCCTTCTTTCCTTTAATGACTTTGGTGTTTATTTTTAACTTGATACTAAGTGCTTAGTCAGTGTAGCTGCTAGCATAAGACTTAATGTTTCTCAATCTTAAACAAACAGTAAGTTATTATAAATTAAAAGATTCTTTCCTTCCAGACAGAGAGAAGTTATAATAGATGTGTAGCAATTGCAATGTTGTGCCAAATGAATTGGAATAATAAACAGAGCAAGCAAGCTTCTCCCCATGGCCTAGTTAACAAAAAAGGCAATAATTCACATACGCATATGCTTTTGCCCTCGCTTAGATTCTAGTTGCTGTGAGTTTGGACTATCAGTCTGTCTGCGTTCTTATCTCTCTTCAAGCATAGTAAGTTTCCCAAAAATAGGAGTTATCTCCCATGACAATCTAGCAAAGACCCTAATCTGAATCTAGACCTAAACTCAATAATAGTCTCCCTGGGTCTGAATAACCAGGTCGCATTCAGCTTTTTCAGATGGCAATACAGGAAAAAACGTGCATCTGAGTCTCCATCAAATGTGTTTATATAGCATGGAATGGTATTAATTTTCATTTTAAAAATTTAAATATAACTCAATCCTGATTGGTTTAAGCCCTTTTTCCACACACGTGATGTATTCAGCTCAATACTTCTGTTACTTAGCAAAGGAAAAACATGTTTCTCTGCTAGCAGGATAAAAATGAAGTTTAAGATTCTATTCTCTTTTGATGCCCTTTCTGTGATTATTAGGGACGTTATGAATTGTAATGTTAGGTATGTGTTTTGGCGAACAGGAGAGAAAAGCTTTGATTTAAAAGCAGATATATATTACAGTAGGGGAATGATGGAGTTTTGCATACATATCTTGCTGTTTGGTGTAGCATGGGAATCTGGAGCGTCTTGCAAAATTTAGATACTTGCATTTTAGTGGCAGTTATATGGATTATCATAGAACATTTAAATTCTTTAAGCGTCTTGGAAGATCTCACCCAGAATTTGTATAACATTATTTAAAGCAACACAGTGATGATTATTAAGGAATTGGATATAACTAAAATGCAAGGTTGGTGTACAGTTATGCTGGCTTTTTTTCTAGACAGCTCCTTTGAATAATAGGTAATGACTAAATGTTGTGACCTAAGACTTGCTGTGTGAAATAGAAAATAAAGTCCAGCTTCACTTGTGTACTTTGCAAAACTTGAAAGAATGAGAAGTGCCATAGAGTCCCAAGCAGATGACAAGTTTAGTTTCTCATATTTCATTTTCAGCATTTAATGGTCATTTTGCCATTCTTGAGCTCAAAACTCTTGCTATAGGGTGAATCTGTTGTTTCAATTTTGGGTTTTTTTGGGGTTGTTGTTTTTTGGTTGGTTGTTGGTTGAGTTGCTGGCTTTGTTTTGGTTTTGGTGGTGTGGGTTTTTTTTTGGGGTGTTTTTTTTTTTGTGTGTGTTTTAGGAGATACCTGTATTTAATAGTGGGTTTGATGGTGCTGTTAGCCTATAAATGTAGGCTAAAACGTCACCATTAATACTTGACTTTAAACCTGTGTTTAAAACTGGTTTGGGTGAAATGAAAATTTTCACCAAAAATATAATCACTGTATTCTCAGAATCCTCAGCACCTTGGTTAACTGCTTCTAAAAAAGTATAAAGACTTCCCTTGAAAGTAAATAATTCCCTTGATATTAAATAATTCTAGAGCTAGACAATGGAGCACAATCACAACTGTGATTTTGTGTGGTTTGGAATACTACAAGGGGTGGGGCAGGGTGTGCACAATCAGTTTGATTCCCAGTAACTTAAATCAGAGAAAAATGGGCCTTGGGATCACTGTTAATCATAATTTGGGGTATGTTGACTGGGGACAATCCACAAGTTCTATTCACCACATTAATTTCTTATAAGATGGTGAGACTGTTACCAATTGATATGGACTTAATAGCTTATTTCACCTTGCAACACCTGTATAGATCTGATCAATAATGTAGTTTAATGAAAGAAGATTCAAACTCTGTTAACATGTTAACATTATATTAGACTTAGGTAGTAAAAATGTTATTTGAAAAGTTTCATGCTTCAGTGCTTGAATTTTAGGGGCAGATCTCACTGATTTGGGTGATAATGTATCAGATAAGACAACAGGTACTTGTACTGAGGCAAAATACTTTCTCAGACATTCACAAAGCAAAAAGTTGTGGCCAGCAAGATCTAAAAGGAATGCAAAATTAATTTAAACTTCCAGTTGAATAGAATTTTTTTAACAACTTATAGTGATTACATAATATTATGAAATTAATGAGTTTCTTTCTTTTATTGGAAAATATGTGCCTGTTTGATTTTGGCCCTGCAGAGCTCCAGGGTTTGGTTATATAAATTTAATTATACTTTGCTTCAGATACTGCCATTACAGCATTAAGTGATAGCTGAGAGTAGAGAGACTTCTACATTGTTGTCTCAGTAAGACTACTTAGATTTAACACATTGCACTTTCCCCTGTCAGGCTCTTCCCCTAATACGGCAGCTTCAGAAAAAGGTCTGAAGCCTGTATTGAATGAAGAAATTTTTGTTTCAGTGCCCATCTGTTGCTTGAACAGTTGAGATTGTCAACAAAAGTAGCAACAGCATGCCTTAATAAATCTGCTCAGTCAGAACTGGAATGACACCACTAGTTTAGTTCACACATGCAGTTGTTTTAGATAGTGTCTTAAATTTTAACCACTTTTTACCTAAGAAATTGTGTTTTAATTGACAGTTTGAGGTGCTGCATGTCCCCCTAGTTAGTACCCTGGTTTACCCAATCCTGAGCTATCAATTTTCTGGGTTTATTTTAAGGGACGTTACTTCTAAGCAGCTACTTGAGACGTGCCTGCCAGAAGACTAAGGGACATTTTGTTTTGATTCTGTAGACCAGCAGATCAGATGAGTTGCAGGAGACGGACGTAATTTTCCATCTGTTTTCCATCCTCAGTGCAGCAGACAGGAGTCTTTTCTGATTTCTTCCAGAAGAATTGCATTCTAAGATACAAAGAATAGCTTATAGGGTTCATGTTTTCAGATTCCAAATTATCCAGTGGATGGCATTGTTCAAGAGACAGAAAGCTAGAGTATGTATATCAGAAATCTAAGTCACAATGGGTACACAAACTATTGGGTGCTTCGTGATTCTTCAAGCCGAAATTTGAGTGCAGAAATTTCAGTTACGCTGTCCTGTGTAGATGTGGACCTACTTTGAGTAGGATGTGAAACTAAATCTTCCCACAGTGTTGGAGAATCTTTGGGAGCCAGTAGAACAGGCAATTGTATTGGCTTTATGTTCAGAAAAAAGAAACTGGAGACAGATGGAGATGTGATTAATCCAGCTTCTGCGGCACTAGCCAGAAAAGCAAGTTCTACCTTGTTAATAAGGGCTGGATGGTAGACATAACAAAATGATTTGGTTCTAAAACTTCAACAAATTTACAGGGGGGAAAGTGTTGGGACTATAAGGTGCCTGGGGTATGTATTCATTGGATCAGGACATGCTGCATCAAGCTATGTTTTAACCTGTTTGAAAGTTAACTATAGTCTCAGTGGACAGGAGTGCAGAGTAAATTCGTATTTTTACATTGCCTTACACTTATCCTGTGAATTTCACAAATAGGTATAGAAATGGAAATTCAGTCTAATCTGTCATCGCTCTTGGTTTACCCACCAATGAGCAGAAACTTAACTGCAGTTAAGGTCTGAAAAAGCTATAGTGTGATTTGAATGCCATGCACTTGGATTGCTTGCCATTTGAAATTGAAGAATATAGTTTAGCAGAGGTTAGGATCTAAGAGCTAATTATATACTGTGTTTCCCTGAGCTAGGATTCAACTCTTTTGTCTCTTTTTCAATGCAAGAAAACATTCAATGATAACGTATAGTGTTTGAAATTCAAGTAGGAGTAGCTTTCTAAAGAAAATGACAGCTGAAATAAAAAAATGCTAGTTTATGATTTATTTTCCTTGTCTTTGTGTGTAAAAGAGTAAATGTTTCACTTTAACACTGTTAAATCTGTTTTCTTTTCTTTTGTAGGTTGTCTTAGTCTTCGCTCTTAGTATTGGTGCTCTTGTAATATACTTCATAGATTCGTCAAAGTGAGTATTCTAGTACATTCTCCTTTCTCTCCTTTCCTGCAGCAATTATGCATCTTTAAATTGCTCCATTCATCTACTTCAAATCAGTGCTTGGTCTCATTGCCTGATTGCGAAGAACTTTATAATAATGCATGGTCTACCAAAATAACTCAAGAATGGGAAAAAGATCATATATAAACTAGATTGAACACAGTCCCGTTGGATCTGTAGAATGAATAGAGGGAACTACTTTTGTGTGTTGAGATTATACATACTGTTGCAAAATTATATTTTTTTATGTTCATTGGGTTTATATAGATTCTTTCAAATTCATGAGTAGGATAAGAAATACAGGGGAAGAATATTTGCCAAAAATTAGAGTTTGCAGGAGAAAAAGTGTTTTAGGAGACTGACAGGAACATTTCTGAAAAACTGTGAATGAATTAGTATGAGCATTGTATCTTGCATATCTGTGCAGATTTCCACCTCCTAGATTTGATAGATTTCTCCCAAGATTAGGTGAGACAGTAAAAACCTGCAAAGCATCTCAATATTTCTTTTAGATTTATACCAACATTATCATATAGTGTTGTAGTTTTGGTCAGGCAACAGAAAGTTTCATCCTGACCTTTTGAGGTATATGAGGGTTTGATACCAACCAGTGTAACTAGGAATATCCCTTCTTTGATATCATTCAAACTCCACCCTTGGTTTCATAACAAGCTGGACGCTGTCGGTGGTTTAACAGGCAAATTGGTAGCCTAACACAGAAGAAACCAATAAAAAGGGACTTAATAGAATATTATTGTGTTGAACCAAGTTACTTTGGGAGGATGATATTCTGAAGTATCAATAGCATTTTAAAGCTCTAGGACTACATATTTGCTGCTTTTGTCCAAAGTAGTTTTAGGCTTGCCATTACTGCAGTGGTTAAAAGAGTATGCTGGGGCCATTGCATGTGAGCCAGCCTAGCTCTCCGTAATAGCAGTGGTCATGTTCTAAACCAATCCTTACATGACTCAAAATATCAGACATTTCGCTGTTAACATTTGTACTTACTGATATTTAGGTAGGTGGTAGTACCAGCAAAAGGCATGCTTGAATACATGAATATCAGCTCTGTATTGTGTGAGTTTCAAACCTTACCTTTGTAGCCTAAATGTGTCAAGCATAACACAAATAACTAAGGTAGAGATTTTCTTTGTGGAGAGGAGCCAAGTGATGGGAAAACTCAAGTTCTATCTTCAGCTCCCTTGAAGTGAGGTCATTTTTTTTTCATTCTTAACATTGCGGTGAGCGTTCTCATTAATTTTAACAAATTTTTCTTTAATATGTCACCACTGAAGCACATAAGGTGGTGCTTTTCTCAAGATCTTTTAAAAAACTTTTTAAATGGCAAAGCTTCTGGGTGCCCACCATCTCCAGCTCAAAAGTGTCAAGTAGAATAACACCTGTTTCCACTTATATTTCAATTTCAGACCAACAAAAGACAGCCATTTGTCAGGGTAATTGTCTTTTGTGAAACTAATGGATTGTGTAATGATTTTTAGGCACTGAATTGTAGAAGCCTTTGTTCAATTGTTTTCCTCAAGGAGAGCAAAACTGACAACATGGGAGATTTCTCTGGGGTGCTTAACCATTCTGTGGGCCACCTAATCCACGTACTGCTACCAGCTTATTGGCTGCTCTGTCAGTGGGGATAGAAAAGTCTTTTAACTGTAGGTTTCTCTGGGTTTTCAGCCAATGTGTTTAACTCTTGGCTGCAGTTTAAATTCAGCAATGTCAAGTTAATACACTCTACTTGTACACTTTTCCTTTGCTTTCTCCTCCTTCTCTTTTACCCTACTGTCTTTCTACACATATGTCTTTTTTTTTTTTTTCGGGGGGGGGGGATATTTTTAAATACTCTTTAGTAGTTTAATTCAGGTTAGAAACTCACCAGATGTATCCCCAAAGTGAAAAGTTCTGCTTTATTCTCTGTTAGAAGCTGACCTGACACCCTTTTCAGCAATGTAGAATCAAATGTAGTGAAATATCAGTCTATTTAAGATCCCCAAGTGCACGATTAGTAAACCTGGTTCCTTTTAGATTTTGGTCAAACAGGAAATAATTTAGGCAGCATGAAAGGAAAGCTTGTGATATCTTCCACAAAACAACTGGAACAACACAGGCTACGGCTTGGCTGGGAGCAGTGGAGACAAACAGGATCTAGTGTGCACACCAGACAGATAGTGCATTCTATAGCTGTTGTATTCCTCATGTGCCATTGACTTTTAGCTGTCATTTGGTCTTACGTATATTTGGTGAGAAAAATGATGTCTTCAATCCAAAACTGAAGACTACTAGTGTAAGCATTTGTCTAAAGCAAAATGTCAGTGATCTATTCATCCAAGACTCTTAATCTGTCAGTAGTTTTGCAGAGGCAATGGCAGGTATGTCCACAAAGGAATCCTACATGACTTCATACATAAGGGACATCAAGAAAGATGGGAATAATGCCACTTTCTTAGATAGTGAAGGAAGCGGAAAGAGCAGAAAGACCACTGAGTTTTGTCAGGCGAGGATGTGTGTCACGATTAGTTCTGGTGGAAGACACCGAGGAATTCAATAAGGCTCATAGTTCATTGCTCCCTCTGCTATATTCATGGTATAGGAAAGGTGACTGGAGGCAAAATGAATGCTGTTACAGCTGTGAGAGGAGAGTAAACTAAGAGCATTTCTATGCTACCCAGTTCATTACTCTAACAGGCACTCTCCCGGACTGGTACCACATGATTTTATGTTCAGTGCAATGCTATTGGGAAAGATCTGAGGTGTATATGTACACTGAAAGTGTACATATAGCAACTATTGGAAGATTTCAGTCCTTAAACGGGGGATTTATTTAGCAGAGAAATGACTATCTTGGCATCCCTGTCAATTAAATCTGGTCACATCCTGGTAGGAAATGTTTCACTTATTACTAAGGACTAGACTCCTTCCTTCCTTTATTTGTTGAATCTCATTCATAAAATACTGTTTTCTTGGACAATGGTATTTTTCAATACTGAAAATAGCAGTTAAACGCGAAACATTTGCCAAAGAGATATTATAAGTATCACCTACGTAATTATCTTAATTTCTAGGTAACAAATAACCAAATAATTACATTTTCATTTTTAGAGTTTCCTTCACTTTAATGTGTCTTCCATTTTTAGTTTCAATAAAAGCAGAACAATCAAAGAAGTCATAAGCAATTAGTTTTCATTAAGAAAGTGATCGGCTTTAGTACAGAATAGCATCATATAGCCTAATGATTGTTCTTTTCCAATTCATATTTCCTTTAACATTTTTCATCATTTAATTCTTCAAGGTAAGGAAATAGGTCTGCCAATATTTTTCCATGCTTTTTTATAAGTACTTTTCACAGCCTTCCTCCTTCCTGTGTCTACTTCTGTTTATTTTTCTGCATGTAAAAGGTATTTTAACAAGTACATATACAAGTACTTTTCTGAGTTTTTACACCGGCATTCAAGATGTATTGTCTATTTTATCATTTCCGTTTGTCATCCTGACCTCTGTGTATTGTAATGAATTAGTGACTCGAACAGAGTAGAGAATAACATTTGCTTGCCATGACCATCTTTAGGCATGGTCAGTAAAAGCACCAGCAGACAACTCAGTTTCCCACTAAAACAGGTAACTCAGCGCTCCCGTTTTCTATTTCTTGTTATGGCAGGAGCTTGGAAACTATTTAGGATGTGAATACCCTTTTCTACTCTGGTTCTGTTTTCTCTTCTGGGGTGCAATACAATGTAATACACAACCATAGATATAAGCTGTGCTTTTCAGGCACAGAAATGTAACTTTTTTTTGATGAAGATCTTGCTTTCTAGTGACTGGTTATTACTGTCCTGTCTCTTGAAGTTTGCCTTATTTAGTGGAGTCCCTTCACTAAAAACTAATGTCAATATAGAAATAATAGAGCTCATCAATGGCAAGGTGAAAACATAGAAACACTCACAACTTGATTTATATGTTCTGCTCCCATGTTTTTTGAGTTTGTATTTTCAGAGACACCAGTGTAGTTATTCCTAAATAGGTAATTTTTTCCAATACTGTGTCACATATTGTACTTGATTAGAATTGTACATTTAAGTGCCATCTGGCAAAGAGTGTAAAACAGCTGGATCCAAGAATAACAGTGGCACTGTGAATAGGAAGATTTATACAAATATACACACAGGCATAGAGGATCATACTGAGCCCCGAGCTTTTTCCCAACTGTTGCGTTCTTAATCAGACAGCTTTATTTCTTTTTATACATGGAAAATAAAAAATCTAAACTTGGAGAATTCTACTTTTTTATGTTCTATATATCTGAGAAGATTTCAGAAGTACTTGCTCCTTTTGCATACCAATTGTTGGAAATCCCATTTGTCTAGATCTGACTTCCAGGAATCCCGAATTCTGCCTAAATGTAAAACTACCAAGTTTGTCTTAAGTATACCACAAGGAAAGTCCCCTTATTCTGAATCTTAGCTTGATTTCTAAACTAATTTTAAAAAATGAGCTTTGTGCTTTTTGCAAATGTGTCTATTCTAGACTTCCCTTAAAGCTTTCCAAGTTTCTGAAACTATCAGAACATACCCTGCATATCCTCCTCATCTCCACACCCCTTTCATCAATGCTATGACAGAAGAGAGAACACAAAGATGTACTTTTAGCCACCCCAAACTAAGGTTTGATTGACACTGATCATCTACTCCGTGGGCGTGTGAGAGCTGGCCCCACTTGGGGTTGCATTAATTGTAAATTAATCCCTGCAGAGTATGGGATAATGCAATTTAAAACACAGTTGTAATTAATCAGACTAATTACCTTTACAGCTCTGTCCTAGGATATAGTTTGTTGAGGTAGTGTTCTTTGACAGTGAACCACAAACATTAATCCAATAATTTTATAAGAAAAAAGAAAACATCTATAATTAAGCTACTTAACTGCTGACATTCTGACTAGTGCATCAGTATTCATTCTTTTGT